TGACCCCCCATCTGATCTTCTCAGTTGTCTATGCATTTATCTGTAGCTTGGTGTTTGGTGTTAGTGGTAATGTAGCATTGTGCATATACTGGTATTAGCTGCTGTCATCTATATCTTATGTGCACAATTCAGTGTCCTTCCTTTCCCCAATGTCATCATGCTGGTCACAGACTCTTTCCATACCATCCCTATCCTTACCCAACTCAGCGTGAGGCCCCCACTAGCCTGAAAATTTCCCCTCTCCTTCCCGCCCATCCCTGGTAACCTACAAAGTGAGTTCCCCTCCCTAAACAAACCTTTCCTTGACTTTTTACAGTATCGTATAATATTTATAATATTCTGCTTTTGGCTTATTTCACTCAGCATAATGTCCTCCAGATTCATCCACATTGTGAGATGATTCGCATATTCTTCATTGTTTTTTAAAGTAGCATAATATTCCATTGTATGAATGTACCATAATTTGATTATCCATTCATCTGCTGAGGGGTGTTTAGGTTGTTTCCATCTTTTTGCTAGAGTGAAGTTTTTAAGGACATGGAAAAACCAGTTATTAACTTCATATGGAAAGGAAAGAGACCTTGGAAAAGTAAAGCAGTGCTGAAGAAGAAAAACAAAGTGGGAAGTCCCACACTGCCAGATCTCAAAACCTACTATACAGCCACAGTAGTTAAAACAGCATGTATTGGTACAATGATAGACAGATAGACCAATGGAACAGAATAAAAAACTGAGAAATAGACTCATCCATCTATGGACAGCTGAACTTTGACAAAGGACCAAAACTCATTAAATGGGGAAGAGATAGCTTCTTCAATAAATGGTGCTGGCACAATTGGATAGCCACCTCCAGAAAATGAAACAAGACCCATACCTCACCTTATACACAAAAACAAGCTCAAGTTGGATCAAAGACTTAAATGTAAAACCCAAAATCCAAAATGTAAAGCCATCAAAGATAAAATAGGGGCAAATCTAGGGGCCCTAATGTACAGCATGAATAGATTATTAAGCATAACCCAGAATGCACAGGAGGTGAAAGAGAAGCTAGATGACTGGGACCTTTTAAAAATTAAATTCTTATGTGCATCGAAAGACTTCTCCAAAAGGGTAAAAAGAGAACCTACAGACTGGGAGAAAATATTTGCCTAAGACATATCTGACAGAAGACTTATCTCCAAAATTTATAGAAAACTTCAACACCTCAATGCCAAAAAGACAAACAATCCAATTCAAAAATGGGCAAGAGACATGAATAGACACTTCACTAAAGATGATATGCTGGTGGCCAACAAACACAAGAGGAATTGCTCATAATCATTAACCATTGGAGAGATGTGAATCAAAACAACAATGAGATATAATCTTACCCCAGCAATAATAGCAAAGTTCAACAAGACAGAAAATAACAAATGCTGGCAAGGTTGCGGAGAGATTGGAACTCTCACACACTTCTGGTGGGATTGTAAAATGGTACAACCATTGTGGAAAATGGTATGGCATTTCCTTCAAAAACTGAAAATGGAAATACCATTTGAACTTGCAATTTCATTACTAAGAATATATCCTAAAGAGGTGAGAGACAGGACATGAACAGACACATGCACATCCATGTTCACATCGCAGCACAATTCACTATAGAAAGTTGCACTTTGTACAACGGCAGGGTCAGACATTTTCTAACAACAAAAAAAAGTACTGCCGTTGAGTCATTTCCTATTCATAGTGACCCCTCCCTGGGTTTCTAAGGTGGTATCTCTACGGAAGTAGATTGCCCAACCTTCCTTCCAAGGAGTGACTGATGGGCTTGAACCACCAGTCTTCTGGTTAGCAGTCAAATGCCTTAGGCACTATGCTACCAGAGCTCCTAGATGCTTTCTACCTAGTATCAAATTATTTAAATCATCTAGTGAAACCCCTAGAGTTATAAGGCCTTCCTTTCATAAAAAATACCTAAGGGGTATTGTGGAATAAGAGAAAAAAATTGTGTCTGGAGAATTAGGAACCCTGAATTTCAGTCCCAGTTCTGCCTCTAGCTGTTAGTGTGACCCTGAGCTACTCGTTAGCCTCTCTGTGTCTCAGTTTTTCATGTTGTGATGAGCACATTCTCTACAGAACCTTTTCTATGATCTTTAAGGAAATATTCTTATTTCAAAGAAAAGATGTCAGACCAGGTATTATAAAAGCATGTGACAATCTGTTTCATTGTAATTCCAACATTAGTATTCAGATTATGAGACATATAAAGAAGATAGTCAACAGGTAGTGACTAGTATTTCATACTTTGATAGAACCTGGCTTCACTTTGGGGCTAAGAATGGCATTGGTTGATGGCTGTTACAAAAATAGGAGTAGAATTCTCTCTCCATTTTTTTTTTTTTTTTTTCTACAGACATCTAATGTGTGTTGCACTTGTAAACTGGGATCACGTACAAGTAATGGACTCGCTCTTCTAGGACAGGAGAGCAGGTGGTGATCTCCTTAAGCATCCTCTGAAGTTCACTGGGAGATCCACAAGGGATCACAATGAAAAGAACATTCAGGCTGGGCTCCTTTTCTGCATCTGACCAGTTTAGGGAAATGATAGTTACATGCAGACACAGCTTTCTCTTAACAATAGCCTGGTTGGTATGAGATTTGGTAAAGCAAATATTTCCAAAACTTCAGATACTATGGCAACTGTGCCCTTCTGTATGTCCATCATAAAAATGCCAGAAAATGGCATGTGGCTTAATGGTGTCTCCTTGTGACTTAATATGAAGAGAAAACACTGTGAGGAAGAAGATTAACAAATTGCACTGATGCTCAGAAACTCTTCAGACCTGATTTTGAAGAGCTACCTTCAAAATCAAAATCAAAATGAAATCAACATCAAAATCAAAATCAAATCAAAATAAAAATAAGTTTAGATATTCAGGTTCCTGCTAGTTTAAGTTAGAAGGATCCTTAGTGTATATTTCTTTTTCTCATATGACAGTGATTCTGGATCTTGGGTTGTGTCCATTGGGCATTCAGAGTATCTGTCATGCACTGGTTGGGTTACAACAGTAAACAATGCCAGACACAGTGTCTCCCCCCAGGGAACTCACAATCCAGTAGGAACGCCAATTATCAATTTAAAGATAAAACCAATACATTTGAAGTTAAAACTGAGATGAATGCTATGAAGGAGAACAGAGCCTATCATAAAAAGACTTAATCATCTCAAGGAGATCAAGGAAAATGTCCCTGAGGAAGTGACAATTGAACTCTTGAAGAATGAATGGAATGTCAAGTAGAGCAATCATTGGATCATAGGCGTATGGCTAAAGAAATCATGGTGCCCATGAGAAATAAAGGAAGGCTGGTGGGCTGGGTTGCAGAGATGATAGACATTGATGAGGCTGGAGAAGTGTGGGAAAGGGAGTGACTGATTATGGAGGGGCATGGAATCCATGCTAAGGATTTTGGTCTTTTTTCCTGGGAACCACAAGGACACAATAACAAGTTTCAAGCATGACAGTGAGGTGACCAGATGTACAATTCAAAAGTCTCTTTCTGGCCAAACTTTATTTCCTTATAGACAACAGAATACAAGGGTATGACCTAATCTTCACAGAAAAGAAAAATTGTGCTCCACAGCCACAGTATGGCTTCTACGTTCATCAACCATTCAGTTGATACTGAGATTCAAAGTAGGAATCCTGTGGAAACTTTATATGTTTATATCTAAGGATTGAAGAGAGCTGTGAATTACTTGATAAGGACACAGAAATGGGAATTCAACCATGTTTTTTTGAGATACCCTGAGATTTATTTATTCATTCAGCAAATGGATATTGAATATCTGCTACATATCAGGCTCTAATGTAGACACTAGGAGCTCTGGTAGCTTAGTGCCTAAGGCACTTGACTGCTAACCAGAAGGCTGGTGGTTCAAACCCACCAGCCACTCCTCGGAAGGACGATGGGGCAATCTACTTCTAAATAGCTAAATAAAGCAGTTGATAGCTAAATAAAGTAGTGATACTGCCTCGGAAACCTAAGGAGGGGTCGTTATGAGTCGGGTCTGACTTGATGGCACATAACAACAATAACAATGTAGACACTACAGGTACAATGGTAGACAAGACTTACCCTGTTGATGCCTTCATGGAGCGTACATTCTAGCGGATGAAACAAACCATAAACAAGCAAATAAATAAACATGTAATATGATGCCTGGACTTCTGGTGGCGTAGTGCCTAAGGCATTTGACTGCTAACCAGAAGTCTGGCAGTTTAAACCCATCAGCCACTCCTTGGAAGGAAGACTGGGCAATCCACTTCCATAGAGATATCTCAGAAACCCAAGGAGGGGTCACTATGAGTCGGATCCAACTCGACAGCAGTGAGCTGGGTTGGAATGTTAAGTGTTATTAAGATTCGTAAAGCGGGATAAAGGAATAGAGAAACAAGGGATGGTATTTTTGATAAAGTGACCAGGGAAGCCATTCCTGAGTTGGTGACATTATAGCTGAAATTTGAATGAAGTGACTAAGTAGGACATACAAAGATTCAAGGGAAGAGCATTCCAACAACAGATGCAAAAGTGTTGACTTTGGAATGGACTTGGTCTGTTAAAAGAAGAGTAAGAAGGTGAATTGGCTTTAGTGGAGTAAATCAGGCAAGATGCAGGATTGAGTTAGGGTCCAGACACAGTCTATTTTCCCACAAAATTGGAGTCAAGAATAGTTTTAGATGCCATACTCAGAGTTCTTGTTACATAACAGGTAATGTCAGTTATTGGTAGTTGCAAATCATTTTTTCCACCTCTACTTGCGCAACATTTGTTCCAACACAACAGTCTCTTTCCTTTTGCCTTTCTTTCAACCTCTATTAATATCTGAGCCTATTGGATTCTTCTTTCTGCCTTTTTTTTTTTTTTTTTTTCCAGTGGAGAGTACCAAACTACTCTTGTTTTCATTCTTAATTGATAAAGTACTTTTGTTTGTTTTTGTTTGCTAAATGTTTCTTTTTTAGAAATTGGCACCACCGTGCACTTCAAGCAAAAAGGTATGGTTCTTATTTCTGATTATTTTCTATATGTTTAAAATTAAGATTTCACAGCAACATATTTTGGTTTTATGTATTTGAGTTTATTTCATTTCAGTAATGTTCAGTAATAATTTCTGAACACATTTGCCACTATTTTTCTTCAGTTGTGAACTTGCTCATAACATTACTGGTCCAACTCATCACCCCTATATTGCTTTTGATGGACTATTCATTTTTTAAATCTCTGAAACTGAGAAGGTTATTTCCCCCTACTTTTCTTATCTTCAGTGTCCAGTGTTAATACTTGGGTAGCTGATTTTGGAAATACTCACTGCCCAGTGAATGGGGTTTCTTAGAAAAGACACAAAGCCTGCTTATAGTCACTTGTTGGCTGTTCAAATAGATACATTGCTAAAGGAAATAGAGTAGTTAAATAAAACAGTTGAGCAGTTGTATATCTTCCTGTCTTCTCCTTCTCCAAGGTCATTATATAACCTCATTCTGACACAGTAAGCCTGGGCTGTTGGGATCTCCCAGGAACTGCCTTTTGTGCCCACCAAACTGCCCCACATACTTTCATCAGCCACGTGAATCACAATCCAGGTACTTTCCTTCACATGGGCACTGCAATCAGGTCAATGCTTCATAAATAAACTCTAAAATACAAACAATTAATAATTCTGCAGACCTTATTTACAAATCCAACAGATCATATTCCCTAATAGTGTTGTATTCTAGACCAGAGCCTCAGAGTCAAATGTGGTCAGTCACTCATCTCCATAACTCCTCATGGCCACCCCTTTGGACGGATAGTGTCTTATTAGAAAACTTCTTCCTCTTAGGACCTCAAAAGGTTTGAGAAAACTAAGGTCATTCTCAATAGTGGAAACCTATTCTTGTGGGACATAGACTCTATCAGTAACAATCAGCCACAGAGATTACGGACATTTTGTTTACTCTTAAAAAAGGACCAGTACCCTGTTCATGACCACCTTTAGCAGGTCCTCACAGAAGACAGCAGGGAAGAGGCAGCCAGGAATATATGCACAGGGCCAACATCACTCAGGCCAAGAAGGTGTAAATTCCTGTCTTCTCCAGCATTTCTTCTCTCCCCACTTTCATGAGGACCAATTACATTTGTATCCAAAGTGGTTGGTCTTACTCATTAGGACATATGATAATACCTCAGGACTTTAATGTGGATGGAGAAAAAGGGCACATATTTAATTTCAGACTATTGAGATAAATTCTTAGTATCATCAGAAAGAATTATAAGTATTGAGTGAAGTTTTCAAAATTTTAATGTAAGAATACCTTATACTCTTTTGATGGGGGATTGTTGTTGTTGTTGTTGTTATGTACCATCAAGTCGGACCCGACTCATAGCGATCTCTCCTTGGGTTTCCGAGGCAGTATCACTACGGAAGTAGATTGCCCCATCTTCCTTCCGAGGAGTGGCTGGTGGGTTTGAACCACCAGTCTTCTGGTTAGCAGTCAAGTGCCTTAGCCACTATGATACCAGAGCTCCCTTGATGGGTGTGTGTGTGTGTGTGTGTGTGTGTGATAATTCCAATGTTTCTGTGAGAATCCTTCAGCCTTACCAAAAATCTCACTTTACAGATAGCAGTGAACAGTGCATAAAAGTTTACGTAGGAAGAGCCTACCTTTAATTCTAAAACAGATTACTTAAAGTAAACATAAATATTATCCCTCTTCTAATGTCCTCTGAGGCAGTGGTCATTCAGTGGTAGAATTTTCATCTTCTACATGGGAAAGCCCAGTCCAATTTGTTACCATTACTGACCATGCTCAGCCACCATTCATCTGTCAGTGGTTTTTCACACAGGAGGTTGCCATGAGTCAGTGGCCAACTCAATGACAGCTAACAGCAACAACAACAATCTGCTCCAGCCTAGAGAATAGACTTTAATCCCCTATCCATTCATCCAGAAGAAGCTGCATTGGCTGAAAATGCATAGCAGGTGGCGCCAAAGTCAGTCTTATGAAGCTTTCTTTTACATATGGCTTCCCAGAATACCAAAGTGCCTTAGTCTGCACATCAGATAATACTGGAAAGAGACACTTAGGAGATTCTGAAGATTATTTTCTTACTTTTGCTTAACAGTTTGTTTATAGGTTTGTTTTATATGCTTTTTCCATTGTTTCTTTCAGTCATTCAGCCAGCTCTTAATAATTCTAAAAGAATTAACAGTTAAACTCTGGCTTGTTTTCTCTTCTTGTATGTCTGAATTATTTACAAGAATAAAATTACAATTGACCCTGAATCCTTACTGACTGACAGGAATGTCCAAGGATCAGTGAGGGTATGATTAATGGCCACTTTGAATAAATCTATTACCTACATACCCAGGAGAAGCAAAAGAAAAGTGTCGGCCAGGTTTAAATTGGCCAAGCACCATGCTTTCTGGAACAGATGTTTGAAAAGTCACCTTATCTTTTCGTTGAGTTTTTACTGAAAGACCAATTAACTGGTTCAAGATCCTGCATCAGATTTGTAGTATAAAGACTTGCCAGAAAATGCTCATGTCCCTCAATTTCAGGACAGTTTGCCACTCTTACCCTTAATCACAAGTTCCCCTTCATAAACAGTGTCATGGCAAAGTGAAGTCCAGCATTCACCTTTATACAAAGCTTCACTTACCAACCTGTGGCTGAGGTTGAGAATCGTGACCTAATCTGATATGTTGAGTCAAGGGTCACAGTAAAAATACAAAACTGTATTTTGCCCCTTCAGATGAAATATTAAAAGCTCTGACCCCATTTATGGAACCAGTGCCTATGATTCAGGTTGGTATTTCATGCCTTTCTGCAATCCAAACTTCTATAGTTAATAATGATAATGATGGCATCATCTTCCAAATGTTTACTAGATACCACACATACATGTGTGTGCCTATATGCATATACACATACAAAATGTGACTAAATACCAAGATTGATTTGTGTCTGTTATATGAAAAACATGTAGCAAATTTTTGAATTGTGGTTCTATTTGCCTATCTATTCTTAAGGCTAATTTATGTTTGCAGACTCTTGCTTTCATTATATCTGTCAGGATATGAAAGCATTTGCTGAGCCTGGCCATCTGGTGTGGGAAGTAAGATTTATCATTTGCATTTCCACAAATAAGCAGAAATTTCATAACTATGAACTAAAACATAATTAATGATTTTGCTGATTATTCTTCTCTGAAATAGCCATTAACTGAAGTAGTCTTCTATGCAGTCATATATATCTATAATTGCGTACACACTTGTGATGATTCCCCAACCAGCACCCATTTACCCATGCATTTTTTTCAAGCCTATTTATTTACTCTCAAAACTAATTATGAAAAGAGCAAGTAATATAAGCACATTAAATAGCTATATGAGAGCACTTAATAAATAATTATTTCTAGAGGTGAAGACATCTTTAACAGATGTATAAAATGCAGTAAATATGTATAATAATACTCATAGTAAGGGTAAAATTAAAGATGATTAACACAGGCACAGTGAGATTTCCTATGTATAACACACAATGGCATGTGAAAGGAACAGCTAATTCTCAATTATGTACTAGAACACCAATCATATGTGTGTAGATCTTATGTGTATAAATAAGTATGTATATAACATATGAAAGGAACTCTGGTGGCATAATGGGTAAGACATTTGGCTGCTAACCAGGTCAGCGATTCAAACTTACCACCTGCTCTCTAGGAAGAGATTTACAGCTTGGAAAGCTAACATGGGTTGCTGTGAGTCGGAATCAACTCAGTGTCAGTGGGTTTATAACATATGAAGCTCGTGGGTAGTGTAAACAGTTATGTGCTTGACTATGACTTGAGAGGCTGATGATTCGATCCCACTCAGTGACACCTCAGAAACCAGGCCTGGCGATCTCCTTCTGAAAGGTCACAACCTTGAAAATCCTATGAAGCAATTCTACTCTGCACACATGGGGTCACCGTGAGTCAGAATCAGTTCAACAGCAAGTAACAACCACATATAATACATAAACTTCGGTTTGTGTGTATGTATGTGTATATATATGTATTAGCAAGTGTATTATATGTGAACATGCAAATATTCACTATCCTTAAATAAAATGATATGATTAGGCTCCTTAGATACATCTCCAGTAGATCTCAACTGAAAGATTTCTGAAAGATAATCTAGCCTGCTCCAGGACGAAAAGCAAGATTAAGAAAATAAGCAAAATTAGACTCTTTTGGAAAATCTTCTGTTTCACACTGTCTCTGGGGCAAAAGAGAAATCATTTTTGCTTAACCCTGTAAGGCCTCAATTTGGAAACCTTACTGATCCATTAATCTTTGTGGCACAGTGGTTCAATGCTGGGTTGCTAACTGAAATGTTAGCAGTTTTAACTTACTAGCGGTTCAGCGGGAGAAAGATGGGACAATCTGCTTCCATAAAGATTACAGCCTTGGAAACCCTGTGGGACAGTTCTATTCCTATAGGGTCACTGTGAGTTGGGATTAACTGGATGGCATACAGCAACAATATAAATATATTTTGTAGCACCTTAACAAATGTGCCAAGCAGCTCATGCCCTCTGATTTGGAAGGCTTTTGAGCTTAGAGTCACAACATCTGGATTCTAGTACTTGGTCAACAATCACTTCCCACTGCCATGGAGTTGGATCCAACTCATAGAGACCCCTCCTTGGGTTTCTGGGGCAGTATCACTACAGAAGTAGGTTGCCCAACCTTCCTTCTGTGGAGTGGCTGGCGGGTTTGAACTACCAGCCTTCTGATTAGCAGTCAAATGCCTTAGGTACTGTGCACCAGAGCTCCTCAACAATCACTAGCTAGGTATTTTAAGCAGGATAGGTGGTATAGTAGTTAAAGCATTCGGCTGCAAACCAAAAGGCTGGCAATTCAAATGCTCCAGCTTCTCTGGGGGAGAAAGATGAGGCAGTCTGCTTCCGTAAAGATTTACAGCTGAGGAAACCTTATGGGACAATTCTACTCTGTTGTATAGGGTTGGTACAAATCAGAATCAACTCTGTGGCAGTGAGTTTAGGTTTTGTTTTGAGTTTAGGCAGGATGCACAATCATGCTGACTCTTACTTCCTCATGAAAAGTATGGAACTAAAGGTAATAAAAAGCCATTTATTAACAGGATCCTACAGCTATTCAAGAGCTCTCATGACACCATAGTTAAAGCATTTGACTGTTAACCAAAAGGTCAGTGGTTCAAATCCACCAGCCACTCTAAGGGAGAATGATGAGGCAGTCTGCTGCTTTAAAGATTGACAGCTTTGGAAACTGTATGGGGCAGTTGTACTATGTTGTATAGGTCACTCACTATGAGTCAAAATCATTCAGATAGTGTTTGGTAATAGCCATTCAGGACCTTAGAGAGTTGATTGGTTGAATATTTAAGTCGTTTATCCTGTGTTTCACATATCTGTGTACATGAAGCTAATTTTATGCAATACCTTATGAAGAAGCTTTGGTGGCACAATGGTTAAAGCACTCAGCAGTTAACTGAAAGGCTGGCAGTTCAAACCCACCAGCCACTCTGTGTGAGAAAGATATTGCTGTCTGCTTCTGTAAAGATTTACAGCCTTAGAAACCGCATGCAGTAATTCTACTCTGCCCTATCAAGTGACTATGAGTCAGAATTGATTGGATGGAAGTTCTTTTTTTTTTTGGTATGTATACTGTGGCATCACTAAGATTGGTGTCATCTGGTGTGGTAACTCATATTGTCACCCACTCCGTGGACCTCCTCCCATACCAGACCATACAGATTCCTTAGTAACATTTATTATCAGTTTTAATCATAGAACAGTATGTGATATAGTTGTGTATTGCTTAAATATAGTATTTCTTAGATTATGTGAATATTAACAAAATTGTTTGTAAAATATTTATATATTGAATTACATTACTAGTTACAAAATTACTAGTAACTGAGTGGGAGTTTTTTGTTATTATTATTATTATTATTATTATCCTTCTTTTCCTTCATTTGGGATCTTTGGTGTTGTAGTGCCTAAGGCACTTGACCACTAACCAAAAGGCTGGCAGGTCATACCCACCAGCCACTCCTCAGAAGGAAGGTTGGGCAATACACTTCCATAGAGATACTGCCTCGGAAACCCAAGGCAGGGTCACTATTCATCAGATCCCACTCAACAACAGTGTGTTTCCTTCAATTATTACTTCATTCTCAAAAAAGTTATTTATATAGGTTCATAAATACTAATTAACACAATATTATAGCTAAAACACCAGACAATCTGACAAAATCAGTGACTATAAAAACACCAGCTGCAATGGAAACGACAGTGTGTGCTTGTAACATGTGCAGATGAAAACACTTAATTGGAAGCCTCATTGTATTTGGTTAATAATGACAGCTCTGACCTGAGCACATTAGAAGGCTCAAAAAAGTAAATCTGCGTAGAGCTTTAGCCTTTGGGTATATTGATACATGTAAGTTAGGCTTAATTTAAAAAAAAAAAAAAAAAGTTTTTTTGTTATAACTACCTATTAGGGATATTTTTTATAAAAAACAATAAATTTCAGCTAAAACTGCATAAAAATTTTATAGAAAGTCATTCTGGTGTCACCCCCTCTAACAATGTCACCTGGTATGGCCCACACTCCCTTCACTCCCGTAATAATGCCACTGTATATTTTAGAATTAATATTTTGAAGGAGTCCTTGAGTGGCACAAAGGGTTAAACTCTAGAACACCAACCAGAAGGTTGATGGTTCATACCCACCCAGAGCAGCCTCAGAACTAAGGCCTGATAACCTACTTCCAAAAGGTCACAGCCTTGAAAACCCGACGCAGCAGTCCCACACTGCACACGTGGGGTTCCCGTGAGTCAAAATCACCTCGGTGGCAACTAACAACACGTTGTTCGTATTCTTAAGAAGTGTTCTACTCAAAAGTATGTGATCAAAAATAATTTTTCATAGATAATAGGTGTCCCTCGTTATATCTGTTTGTTCTGGCTATTGTTTTAAACAAATCCAAATTTCATTCTTTGACAAGTGACTCACATGCATCCTTTCACTGCAAAATTTCACTGTGCAGTGGTGATAAGCACAGACTCTGGAGCCAAAATGCCAGGTCTTTACTTACCAGTTGTGTAAATTCAGTACTAATAGTAAAATTAATACTAGTGCAATGTATGTAACCTCTCTGTACCTAAGTGTCTTATTGGAAAATTGAATTAGTTATAATATCCTCCTCACAAGATGGTTGTGTGCCTATATTTGTAAGATATCTGTAATAATATCTTATAATGCTATGTAATTGGTTTCTTTTTGTTGTTATTTTTGTTTACATAAAACACAGAGTAAGGGGACTGACAATGCCTGAGTTCAGAGTTTTTCCCATATTATTTTACTTCCAGATCTGGTATGTTTATAGACATTTTTCAAACATTCGTATACCAGTAGATCTTTCCATGGTCCTTGCAAACCTCACAGTTTAAAACAGACACATACATATTTGCATACTCACTCATGAACATTGATTTGCTTGCATGCCCTCAAAACATAATTACAGCAATTTTTCTTTTGAATATCATTGTCTAAGTATCAACAAGTATAGTCAAATCAAAAATATCTGTAGTGAAAATTATAAATATTTTCTTATTTTAATGGACCTATATAGACATGATATCACTATGGAAGTAGATTGCCCAATCTTCTTTCTGAGGAGTGGCTGGTGGATTTGAACCACCATCCTTCTGGTTAGCAGTCAAATGCCTTAGGCAGTATACCACCAGAGCTCCTAAAAGAAAAACTAGAACAACTGAAATGTAGGAGACAAACTTTTCAATTGGACCTGCAATTTCTGCTCCAATCCTCTTTCTATTAACACACAAACCCCTTTCTCACCTTCCTTTGCATCCAGCTGTCTGTGTCTGACTCACACCCACACCCTCAAGTCATGTCCACATTGGGGAAACTAAAGGGGCAGCGGGAAACACACAAGCTGCCCCTCCAGGTTGAAATTGATGAGTTCAAGTCTCAGCTCTGCTCCCATAAAGATCTGCCTCCTAACCTCTCTAGGCCTCCTTTTTTTTTTTTTTTAAGTGTCAAATGAAGAGTTTGAACAAGATGATTCCCCGCTGCCTCTTAAGATTCTACATGTATTGGCTTATTTTCTGTCTTGCTGCTAAGGTGCTAAACCAAAATCAAACCTTTGCCACTGAGCACATTCTGACTCATAGACTGCCATGGAGGGTTTCCAAGGCTGTAATATTTAGGAAGACAACTGCAACATCTTTTTTTCCCTCAGAGTGCTTGTGGGTTTGAACTGCCAACCTTTCAGTTAGCAACCAAGCACTTAACCACTGCGCCACCAGGGATCCTTGCTAAGGTGCTATCCAGCCATAAATGTTATTTTTAAGCCATTTCTCTCCCCATTAACAAATAAATGATGTTGGCTTCTCCCCTGAGAAACGACGAATTCAGAGATTAGCTCCATGTTTTACCGATGGAAACGCTGTGATGACCCAGCCAGAGGAGACTGTTTCTGGCTGTGGAAGCCCCCTCATCCCTGCTGGGACATTTACTGCGTGCTGGCCTCCCAGAGCTACACCAGCGTAGAGGAGGCCAGGATCTGTTGAACAGGAGGCTGCTGGACCATCAGAGCCGTCAGCGACAGGCAGTTTAGGCTCTTCACTGGCAAGAGCATTTTGTATTTAGAAGTGTTTCAAGCCATGATATCCTTAAGGTATTCTTAAATCTCAAGATTTAGTAAGGATTTAGGAAAGTGCTCCCGGCGCTATTGACCATGTGGCACTGCCACCTGTCCAGGCCTTACCTCTGATACACTCAACGCCTGCGGGAACAGAGTATGGATGTAACTAGTCTCTCCTCTCTCCCCTGCAGGACCTGGGTCGGTGAGAGGAATCAACGGATCCATCAGTCTGGCCGTACCACTGTGGCTGCTGGCAGCATCTCTGCTCTGCCTTCTCAGCAAATGTTAATAGAATACAAATTTAAAAATAATAATAATAATAAAACCACACAAAAATGTGTCACACAGGATACAAAAGAGAGAGAGTGTGCAAGATTGGGGGAAACAGTTGATTTCACAACTTTGTGTGTTTATAAGTGAAGGGGGAAATAAAAATTGACCAAGAAAATACATTTTAGAAAAAAAATTAAGTCCATCAAAAAAAAAAATTGAGGATAATTCAGGGTGGGAAAAGTTCTAATAGGATATGTGTATATCTACGCGAATGTATGCTGTGTAAAACTACATCATGCTAAGGACATCGGGGTGTTATAAGAATGTAGCAAGTAAAAAAGTACCAGATGGATATTAACCACCACTACCACCCTATCCTTCCTTCCTTCATCCTTTTTCATCTGTAGAGGAGGGAGAAGAAAACGGTCTTGCCTTTGGTGTTTATATTTCCATAATCTTTTAATTCTGTTTTTCATTTGAGTCATTTGAGACTATCAATGGAATCCAAGCTAGAGTCCTGTGTGGAGCCTTTATCTGGCTTCTCTGCCTCCACCACTCTCTCTCCAACTTTTAAGACCATACCTTCTCCCTCCAGTGTACTCTGTCTACCCCAACCCATCCAGATATTCCCTCTTTACTGTTCGCCTGATCCTCCCTGCACCCCAGAGCACTAGTCATGCCGCAAATGCTAGGAAGTGCCATTTTAATTTTATCTACTGTGTGCGCGTGCTCAAGTCTCTCTCTCACGTGGCTGTACATGTTGTGTGAGTGTGTGTCTTCCTCTCTCTCTAAAGCATGCCAAGGGAATAGTCCATGTGTACATAGATTCATTGTGCTGTAGATACTGTCCTGCATTGTAATTGTGAGATGCGGCTGTGACAAGTTGCTGGGGGAGATGGCGGGAAAGAAGGGGAGGAGCAGAACCCTTCCCCCAGCCTTGGCTGCGACCTGGTATCAGTATTCAAACCAAGCTGTGCCCCTTCCAAGGGCAGGATCCCATATTCCTCCTAGACCAATCATCAGAACCCAGTCGGGAGTCATTCAGAATATCACTGTAAATGAAAGTGCCTACTATTGATGGAGTGAGCAAACAGGAGAAAGAACCAGTGAGGTGGATGAGACAACCTAAGAGAAAAGGTTTCTGCTTTCACTCTTTATTCATGATTCTGATGAATTCATATATTTCTGGGCTTTTTATAGGCTGGCCTCTGCTCTGCCCACTAAATCCCCGGAAGCAGGAAGAGCTCCAAGAGTTAATTTCCAGTGGCAGAATGAGGATCCATAGGGAGATCCCAAACAGCTCTGCTTAGCCCCCTCCCTAATCTTCAAATAACACTGCATTTGCCCTATGGATTCTTCTGAGCAGAGCTTATTGCATATTTCACATAAAACATAGGGAGAGTGAACAAAGCAGGAAAAGTTGGCAGCTACCCAGATCCCCAGCCACATCTTGGAGATGCCATCACAACTCTAATACAAAGCATAGAACATAACAAAAAGAAATTTATTCCTTGTGCTCCTTTGAAGAGTTTTGACCTGGTGTTCTAGATTAGTAATTTATTTGCTTGCCCACATCATCTCCTTTCAGTTCCACTGACAATGTGTCCAACATTATTGTTCATAGATGTCCATCATTATCCTAGAGTAGGCCTAAGAGTTGCATTATTATCACCTTCCCTGCTTGCTTTTAGCTTCTGGTCTTCTGAACAAAATATAGTGGAGTATGGTGTTTAAATTTACATCTACAAGAATATTCTTGACATGAAAAAGAGGCTACTACATTAACCAAAAGAGCTGGGTGACTTGTAATAAATTTAGGTAGCTATATGAGTACCACAAAGCTTGACATCTCCACAGGCTTTTCTTAGAGAAGATCTTGCAGAGAGAGCTAGCTCTTCATGTGTTATGTCATTGTTAGGAAACCAGTCATTGCTCGTTATAAGAGGTATTGGAAGTGGCTCAGTTTATGAAAGGACAATTATCATTAAGGTAATAATTGAATGTGTTCCATTAGAGCCAAAAGTGGTATTTCACTGAGTTTTAGAACTGTGAAATTTGTTACCACATGATATAATACGGGAAACTTAGCAACTGTAAATTTAAGAAAAAGCAGAAAACTAACCTCTGAAATTTCTTTTGATATATTTTATTGATCAAAGGTTTTTTGCAATGAGTCTCTCTCTTCTTTGTAAGTAACCATCTCCTTGGTGAGCAGCATTTGTAAGTTCCTCTGGGAGATTCTACTTTGTTTCCAGAAAGCTTGCCACCATCTTCCTTTATAATTTTTCAGTTCACACATGAGGCAGAATGGACAAATTTGACTTGAGGATAGGTAAAAGTTTTCTATTGCAAATCTTAATATAGGTCAGACATTCTTATCGAAGAAGATTAGCTACTAAAATAAAGGGAAGGTGGTGAGCCATATCCCTAAGTAGCACCAATTTGCTGACAATCAGGGATTTCTCTGAACAATTTTGGTCTTCTTAGTGCACAGAATCAAAGATTATCCTTTGGTGATAAATGTTCCCCATATATTGAACAGGCAGCATACCCTTAAGTGGAAGGTTTGAAAGAGTGCATGCTAACTTAAAACTAAATAGGAAGGGAGAAGTAACAGGGATTGAGTCAGGTATCATTTAGCGTCAGTCCCAGGAATGGACCCTCCAGGCATGTCACAGACTTTCATCAAATTCCTGGTATTTCTATCATTTCCACTCTATTATAAGGACAAAATCTTGGTTTTATAGGAGATGCTTCTCTATTAAAAAGAATGTCTTTGCCATATCAGCACCATTGATTCTCTTGGTTTTAATATAATGGACCACATATTAAACATCATTAAACATGTATTAAATATTGTTGGCTTTGCATATAACTCTGGCAAGATCTGGGATTTTCTTTTCTTTTCTTTGCCCACGGCTCACATTTCAGAAAAAACACTGATCCCAGAAATCTCATATGTCTGAGACTGTGTCGCAGCAATGTGAAGACGGAGAAGATGTTTTTGATAAAGAAAAAAGAAGTGGCCAGAGGACTGATACCAAGAAATAGGGTCTCAGCATGAGATTTCTTTCAATGGAGTTCACTGTATTCTTATAACACCCTTCAAGAATCTTGTCTACTGGTAAACAAAGCTTGAAACCCTGCACCAAAAAAGGCCAAGTATTTGGAAATAATATATAGCACCGAGAGGAGTATAATCTTCAATTAATCTGAATGACTAATTACACTTAATGTCAGTAAAAACGTGTTTTTTTTAATGCAAAATGAAATTCTACCATTCATAAAACAATGTCCTTAGACGCAACTTGCAGTTGACAAAAGCAGAAATGACCTTGACCCAGGGTGGTCCTGAGAAATGAAAGCTGTCCTAGGTTTTGTACCTATAAAATGTATGCTTGTACTGTCTGTGCAATTGTTAATCAGAAGGTTTTGCCATGTTGGAGAGACAGCCTAGCTTGTCTTAAGACACAAAACCACTCTGCCCTAAAAGAACCAAGGATTAGGGAAAAGTAGATAAGTGTTTTTGTTGGAAAGGATTGTTCCATCAACTCTTGCCTTCTCTTCCAAGTCAGACAGACTTCTTCCTTGCTGTGGGAATTTTTTTTTTTTTTTTTTTTTTCTTTTTCCTATTTTTAAACTACATGTTAAGACAACTGGGGCTATTCACAGAGACCTTGTAAAAGTACTCGTGATTTTAACATTCTTGGAGGACTGAAACAAAAATATGTTTCTTCTCCAAAAATGGACTTACCTCTTTTGCACATAAAAACTAAACTCGGCATTAGATTGTTTCTGAGTCCTTAGCTTCTTACTGCTCCAGAATCACAGCCTCCCTCCCCAAGGTGGTTGTGATCTGACTGTTTCTATTGGCTAATCTCCCTGAAGTTCTCATTTTGTTCTTTACAGACTTTGAATTATTTGTGGAAAAATATGTGTGTGTGTACTTTCTTTAATCTTCATGAATGCTATATTTACAATATCGTATGCATTATAAAAAAAATCTAGAATAATGGTTTAAAAGAAAGAAAATTGCTGAATTTGGTTTTTAAAAAAGCTATACTTCATTTATAAAGACATTGAGCCCCGTTTTTCTATACTGTACTTAGTTATATAAAAACAATTTCTTATGTACCACGTTCCATGGATTAACTATACTTATTTTTTCTTTATCCTCATAGCTTTTAGTCTATGTTTACTCTTGATTCCCAAGAACTATCATTTTTTTAAGTAGAAATGGTATATTTGCAATGCTATATGACCTACAGAAAATGTTAATATTTTGCAGATAATTACATACTACAAAAATATTGAGATAAGACCTGAGTGAAGGAGCACAAATCCAGTTTAAGAAGCCTTCTTTTTTTCATAAGTATTTAAAATAACTCTTCTCTAAAGACTGCATTTGCCCTAGTGGTGTAAATTTTCCATCCTAGTTGGCATAATATCTGTAAACATCTCACTAAATGCAAAATGGAGTTTACATTTATGTGCATGCTAGTGGAAGAGAAGTAAACTATTCCCATTTGCATATCACTATGCTGTTCAAATGTCGCCAACTGAAATTTAAGAAAGAATTTATTCTCATCCAGAAATGTACATCACTTTCCTCTTGGCAAGGAAGCTGGTGTTAATGTTAGGCTTAGGTTTAACATTTACACCAACTAAAATGTTTATGAATATTATGGAAAACTTATTTTAAAACCTTGATTTCCTTTCATCGCATTTACATACTGTGTGCTGATTAATAAATTAGGCACCAATCATGTGTAAATCAATGTAAATCACTAGTTTACGTACATAATATAAACTATGTAAACTTCATTTTTCATGCAGGACCCAAGTTCAGCTAAACCTATGAATCTTAAAAATAAAAAGCATCATGGAATAAAAGCCAAAACATTCCAGAGGATCAGTAGGGGAAGAGTATGACATATGGCACCAAAATGAGATGATCTCAGCCAAAGGAAGCAGGCCTACAGGAACTGTAAAAGGGTTCACATCCTGCTTAGGTCACACGACTGAACGTCCACCTCTTTGTTCCTTTGGGACCTAGGTTGAGACCCTCTCAACTGATGTCACATTTGCTGCATCTGACACCAAAACTAGTCAGACTTTCCCTGCAACGAAGAGAAAGAGAGGGAGGAATTTTAAGCCTCAATTGTCCGTTTTATCAACTGTCAAGTCTTTTCTTGTAACTTCTTACTCATCATCTTTATTGTTTTCATTAAATAGCTCCAAGGAAGTAATCTCCACTTCATAGAGTGAACTTTTTACTCAGTGTTTGTTTTCCCATTTCACAAAAACACTGGGAATGCTTCTCTGTCATCTTGATCCCAAGAAATTGTTGGATATGGTATCTCATATCATTGAGAAATATCTTACTGAGTCTCATTCTAGAAAATAGCTACTTAACCTGGTTGTTATTTTTCTACATATCTATCCTGAACATAATAAATGAGGGACTGAATCATTTTAATTGGGAGTTTCTCTCAGGCATGTCCTCTTGGAGTCTCTTTGAAGTGCCTGATGTGTTT